TTGCGTTTATATGATTGTTTGCCAAGAGATTTGAATTGTTTGCCAAGAGATTATTCAAATTGCAGGTTGTTGCGAGGGATTTTTGGACAATTGAGTTAAGTGAATTGAGCTGGATTCGATGGAACCTATTTTCTGGATTACATTGAACTCAGATTTGCTGATTCCGTCGAATTTCGTAATCGATGGGCAAAGAAGCAATTGTTAGTGGTGATGTGGGACCCACTTGGATGGATTTAGTGTGTTTTCGCCAGGTAGCATCTGACATGGCAAAAATTTTATCCATATCATCACTTTTTTAAATTTTGCTCTCCACGTCATCAAAAAAAATATAAAAAATGCCATATAAGCAAGGTTAACGGCCCAAATTAACAGAAGGACTAACGGAGTGCATTTCGTATAGTTGAGGGATCAAAAAAGTGTAAAAAATTGTTGAAGGATAAAAAATGTTCATTTCTTAAAGTTGAGGGACCAAATTAAGCATTTAACCTTGTTTGTATTATATTTTAAGGATAAAAATAAAATATAATAATTAAATAATAATTATAATATTTTTAAAAAATTTAAAATTTAAAATTAAAAAATAATTTTTATTTTTTAATTTAAAATAAATTAACTAAAACTTAGTGTATAATATCTATAAATTAACTAAAACTTAGTGTATAATATCTATAATTTAAATAAAAATTAATTTTATTATTTTTAAAATAAAAAATAATAATTATTAACCAATAATTATTTCTTATTTGAAATATCGATAGATAAATCCTTTCAAAATAGGCAATGAAATGTGGGTTAATACCAACTATCGTCCTTATATTATCAAAATTAACTCAATTTAAACCTTCTACTTTCAAGTCACCTCATGTTCTCCTTCTGCTATGAATTAAGTACAAGTTCCGTCCAATTTTGAGTTAACGGACGGTTTGTACACCGTTAACAGTAACTTGTCCAGACATCCAACCTGCCTTTTTCTTTTTCTTTTACACTCGGGCTCTGTGCGCCCCACTAGTGCCGCATCATATCCCACAACCTTCAATTTCGCCACATCCCTGCAGTTCTCGATCGCCTCGAACGCACCGAGAAATTGCCGACACCCGAGTACGTCTTCGCCGACCTTATCAAAACCTACGGCGTTGCTAACAAGGTTCAAGACGCTGTTGATCTTTTTGGTCGGACACCCAAGTTCAGGTGTGTCCTTTCTGCGTACTCTCTCAAATGCTTTGCTCTCTGTTCTTTGTAGAAACGAACTTGGTCTTAAGTTGGTGCCGGAAATTCTGTTGCAGAGTCAAGCTATGAATATAAGGGTTGAAGAATCGAGATTTAAGATATTAGTTTGTGCTCTTTGTAGATTAAATAAGGTTGCATATGCTATTGAGATACCGAATTGCATGATAAAAGATGGGTTTTCCATTGATGATGAAATTTGTTCATGCATACTGTCATCAGTTTGTGTGCAGAGAGATTTGGGTAATTTAGATATCATGGGTTTTTGAGAGGAACTGAGAAAGCTTGGGTTTTGTCCTAGTATGGGTGATTATGTTAATGTGATGAGGTTCTTGTCGAAAGGAAGCAGGGGAATGGATACTTTGGATGTTCTAAATCAAATGAAATCTGGTGGAGTTAAGCCTGACACTGTCTGCTACAATATAATTTTAGGTGGTGTTATTGGAGAAGGGAATTTCGAGGCGGCAGATGATGTGTTTGATGAATTGCTTGTGTTGGGTTTGGTTCCGGATGTCCATACTTACAATGCCTATATAGATGTTTTATGCAAACGAAATAATATTGAATAGGGAATCAAGTTGATCACTTGTATGGAGAAGTCGGGGTGCAAACCTAATGTGATCACTTATAATGTGTCGTTGGAGGCATTGTGTAAGGTTGGTGAGATGAGTAAAATGAGAGAGCTTGTGGAGGAGATGAAAGTTAAGGGAATTAAGCCAAATTTGCCGACATATAAGGTAACAATTGATGCTCTGGCTAGTAAAGGTGAAATTTTTGAAGCTTGTGCATTGATGGAGGAAGTTTTGGATAAGTTCTTTTGCCGACAATGTTTCACACTAGATAACATAATTTCTGGTTTGTGCCAAGGAGGGTTAGTTGGTAAAGCACTGGAATTACTCAATAAAATGGCTGACAAGAGAGTTTCTCCTGGTGCTGGTGTTTAGAATGCACTTCTCAGCACCGGATACAAACTTGATTTTGATGAGACCACATTCATTGATTTGGTAGGTCCAGTTTAAATTGCCTTGTCGACTTTCGAGTGGTGTAATATTCAATCAATAAATTTTCTAACCCTACCCATTGAGATTTCCATATGTGACCTTTTACCTAAAAGAAAAAGGACCTCGTATGTGTTGTAGAGCACTAACTTCTCTACTTCTTTTTCTGTGAAGAAACTGTATGTATATTAAATGGTTCTTCGTGTAGCATATATTCCACATTGATTGTTTGTTTTCTGCAGATGAAATGTTTTCTTTTTGGTACCCAAGGAATTGGCTCCTTCCTTTTCCTGATCCCATATGGTTGACTTGCTACTGCAGCTGGCTTATTTTGACACCCCTTTTTTCCTTGCAACAATCATTTACTGTTTTCATATTCCAGTTAGCATAAAGTTGGCTTTGAGTTGGGTATCCTTTTAATTTGCTATGGACATTCTAGGATAGAAATGACGCATTGGATTCTATTTGGTATATGTGGTTTTAATTATTATTATTATTTTGTTCTTGGTTTACAAGGGAGAAGGGGGCATCCGGGCACAAACCTGGGTACCATCCGTGGGGAGGGGGTGGTCTGCCACCTGCTCCAACTACCACTGTGGTGGTATTATTAATTTAATTTTGATGCAGCTATCTGGCACCCCAGTCGTTGTGTCATTTATTATCTTATGCCTTCTAAAGCTTCATAGAAATTGATGTGCTAAATGGAGTCACACAATACATAACAGTCTGAAGCAACTACTATTGCTGAACCTTTACCGCATTTTCTTATCTGTGGAACTGCTCAGACAATTTCTGTTTCTTTTTGTTGTAAAGTAGTTGTAAAATCACTGGTTTCTACCTATTTGCAGACTTTGTGCTGGAGAGTCATGGATTCGGGTTGAGACAGAGATTCTGAACCCTGTGATTCCTGTATCTATAACATGATTGCCATGGGTTATGCTTTGTATCATGTTCGAGATCGTAGGCTACTGACTTTGGTGATTTTGGTTGATTATTGATGGGTTTGATGGATTCGTTCTAGGGTTTCTCAGAAAAGGGCGAATGAGATCGAAATTTGGGGATTTTGATGTTTGCACAGTGCCGGCAAAGAATTTAAAGGGGATCTGATGTGGCATTGTGGGGCCCACAGAGTCCAGGTGTTAAAAAAAATAAAAAAGGGGTTAAATGTCCGGACAAGTTAATGTTAACGGTCATTAAACCTTCGTTAACCCAAAATTGGACGGAACTTAGACGAAAGGACGACATCAATACATTTTCCAATAGTAGAGGGAGGACATGTCTACTTAATTCATAGTAGAAGGAGGACATAAGGCGACTTGAAAGTAGAAGGTTTAAATTGAATTATTTTTTATAGTAAAGGGATGATAGTTGGCATTAACCCATGAAATGTCGATAGGTATTTCACTTACACCGGTATTTGACTAACTGAAGCTTTTTTTTTATCGAAACTAAAACAGAAAGAAAGTCCCTTTTTTCAGTATTGGTTATCGAAATTTTTAATTTTATAATTTTAGTTTCAGTATTAAACGATTACTTCGCATTATGCTTTTGCAGAGACGGAGGGGAAATTAAGGAGGATGCTGGACCAAAAACTATGAGCAGATATGAGTGAATTATATGGTTTTCATTTTCGCCGATTAAACTATTTTTTAATTTACTTATTATTTTCTCGGCCAAACAAAAAATAATCTACCTATAATTTACCTATAATTTAGAATAGTAAATTATATTTGTGGCTTTTTTTCCTTAATTTTTCATCCAATTCTTCTAGCTTTATATTTATCAGCTCAAAGGTTTTTTTCCTGCCTTGGATTCCTCTCACTTTCTCCCGTGATTTCTCTTCCTAATTTGCCCTTACATTACACGATTTTTTTGGCATTATATCTTTAATATTTAAAAATTATATTTAATTTTTTAAAAAATTTTATCAATATTTATCACTTTATCTATAAAATTTAAATTTAAAATTTTATTTAAAAAAACAAACACATTCTTCACGAATCAACAAATTATTAATGCTTACATTACACGGTATTAAAATTACTTGTATAGCCCCATTTTCATTTTCACAATGGAAATGCCCACCTTTCAAATTCATCCAACGTTTTGTGAAAGTGGGGATGACCCAAGGAAAACACGAAAAGCAAAGTTCGGTGTGGGGACAAAAAGATAAAAAGTTTGATTAACATAGATTCATTATCGCACTCAAAGAAAGCATGAAAAGCAGAGTGTGGTGTGGAGATGGATAAATATAGAGTTTTGATTAGTATAGATTTAAAATAACTATTTCATAAAAAAAAAAAAAGATTTAAAATAACTATTTAAGTAATTAAATGATAATTTTGAACCTGACGTCTCACATGGTATTTGACAATTTCACATATCTTGTATAAGCCCCCATTTCATTTTCACAATAAAAATGCAGCCTCTTCATTCAACCTTTTGTAGCAGGGGTGGGCAAATATCGGTTTCGGTATCGACCGAAACCAATATTTCAATAACTGAAAATTTTCGGTATTGATTCTCAAGACCAATGCCAATAGCAGTATTACCCTTTTTTTTTGGGTTTCGGATATCGAAATTTTCGGTTTTCATTTTTTATGTTTCAGTTTTCACTGAATGTTAACAACCTTTTAACTATTTTCACAAGCATCCCTCACTTAAACCAAATTTGACAATTTTTCTTGAAAGTATAGCATGAACCAGTCTAAAATATTGGAAGTATACCTGTTCCATAATCTAGCTCTCCGATTCTCCTCCTATTTCTCTTGGTGGGGCTACCTCTTCACAGAAATAAGGCCAAGCTTTGCCGATGGCATGAGGGCTGAGCTTTTCACCTTCGGTGCCGACGAGAGCAAAGGGAATGTAAGGCTTATGACTACCACTAGGCGGCGGTAGTGATAAATAGAGAAGATGATTAGATGAGAAAGGAGAAAGAGAGGTAAAAAAAGGAGATTGATTGTTAAGAGAATGAAAAAAAAATACAGGTGTAAAAGCTTTTATACTTGAGAAAAATTGATAAAAATCCATGAAAGATTAAGTGGGGATGGAGGGAAATTGATCTTTGGAGTTGTAGCATTGGGAGGGAAATTGATCTTTAGGGTTGGAGCTTTGGAGGGAATTTTTCTAGAGAGAGGGAAAGTGAAAATGAGGAGGGCTGGAATTGGAAGGCGGCAGCGGTGCGTCGGTGACGCCATTTAAGATTCTTTATCATGTTTTTTGGGCCAAAATACTTGGGCCTTAGTTTGGTTAGTCTTGAGGCCCTATTTGGTTTTCGGTTATTGGGCCTCCTGATCAATACCGAACCGAAAGTTCATCGATTTTTCATCAAAACCAACTTAAAATTCACCAAAACCAATTCATTCAAACCAAATTCAATTTTTTGGTGGTTTTCGGTTAACCATTCGGTTAACCAACCAAATGCCCACCGCTATGTAAAAGGAGGATAATGCCTCGGAGAAAAATGAAAAAGCAGTGTGTGGCGTGGGGACAGAAATAGATATAAAGCTGGAGTGAGAAACATAGCGCATTATTGCAGGGGGTAGCTTTTTGCAGATGGCAAAGCATGCTGCAGTAAAGATAACGGGCGCGGTTATGGTTACATATAAGTATTTTAGGGATATTAAAATTATAAAATATTATTTTAAAAATATTAAATTAATTTAATTAATTTAATAAAAATAATCATTAAATAATTATTAAATATAATTATTAAATAATTAATTAAATAATTTATACTTATTAATTACAAAATTAAAATTAATTAATTAATATATATTTTTAAATATTTTTTACGATAATAATCATACTCGTAGATATATATATATTTAATGATATTTAAATTTTTCAAAAAATGAAGGCATTTTTACTATCGTGTAGTCGGAAGTTAACTTTTGACATTTTCATTATGTCTGTATATACTCTAAAGAGATCTAATTAAAAAAATTTGAAATTGAAGGTAATATGCCTTTAGGATAAGAAGAAAAAATTGAACAAAGTTGGACACTAGAGAACCAAATTATCTAGGCCAAAAAATTTACAAAGAGCAACAGATTTGGATGGTTGCAAACCTAATTTTTTTTTCCCTTTCCAGAAGATCGATAGTTGATTTGGAAACTAATTTGGAAATGGCTTAGCAGCAAACTGATTTGGAAATGAAGACTCATTGTTTGTTTTATCAATACCTTGGTTTTACATTCTTAATTTCCAAAAAAGAAGGTGCAGATCATAAAGATTTTCACAACTTTTCAACAAATATGCATACAAAATCTCCTTTCATGTACTAGATAGTCTCGGTAAGTAAGCACCAATAAACACAATCAGCAAAATTTTCAAGATAAGATCTCTTTTCCTTGTCAAGAGTTTGCCCTTCTGCTCATCATAAACAAATGTGAGCATCTTTCTAATCTTCTAACAATTGTGTAACGTTCAAACCGTGATGGTTGATCTTCAGCTCTCGTAAGATGTTGCGAACTATCTCCATGATGGCAACACTATACCCAATTCCCCAGGATAATGCTTCTTGGATTGGATAAGACTAATTGACGCAGTTCTCATTACCACCTGGCTTCCATCCTTCCCCTTTGATGCATGTTACAGTAGCAGCTGTCATTCTAGAAAAAGCATAGAATCAACCCTACATAAGGGAAGAAAAAAAATATCATTCACAACATGTACCAGTAGTCAATACAGAAACTTACAACCATAACATCTTGTATACAATTGCATGTATTCAGTTAATGAATATAATCTACCAAAACGAAAAGCCAAAATAACCATATCTAAAGGTAAAAATGGAAAAGCTAGCATACCAAAGAATGATGAAAAGGCAATATACATCAACTTATGTAGATAAATTAGTATATCATTTGCAACATCATTATGAATGATTGGGGCAAATAGTGGCCAATCAGCAAAACAAAAAATTACAAGTCATGGAATGAATGAAAGGCTAATAGACCATCAAAGGAAATAGAAACAGCCCACTACAGGGATGTGATAAGTAATCAACAAAATTCAACATCAAATGCAAGTTACCTCTTGCTAAAGCTTTTTCTTTCTGCTTCACTTCCCATGTTGTATGTCCCAAAAGAAACAGATGAGTGCAAGTTGTAAAAGTCTACATGTGTCGCAAGTTCAATTTCCTTGATATACCTCATACCGTTGGCTAAGTTCAACTGCCATGACCAATCTTCCTCTCTTTCCTCTTCAATTCCTAGGATAATTTGAACAATGTAAATCAGAAAGCCATAATCACTGCTCAATTTCAGAATACGATTGCGAACTGACATGTATAGAGATGAACATAGGTAAATACACTAACCTCAAAACTAGGTCTAGTAACAGTAGCAAGAGGGAGTTCATGATTTGCATCATGACCATAGTTTAGAACAACCGGCTCGGGTGGAAGGGGTGAAAGCCTTGAAGGGTTATACAAATTCATGATCATTGATCAGTAGTCAGAATCATATTATTAAAAAAGATATTATAAATTTGAAAAGAAAAGAAGATTAACATAGGAAGCATTAACTTCTAATTCACCAAACAGCTTGATAACTCCCTATATTATTATCATCTTCATAATTTGGGGATTTGGGATGTTTCTTAATAGAAAGCAGCATGTGAAACATACCACATGTGTTGGGGACAAAGAGCACGGATATTTGATTCTAACCAATTTGCCCACGTTTCTCAATTTACAAGTCGTCACAATATATTCTTGAACAATCCTAGGTGTTCCATAACTGATTAAAAAAAAAAAAAAGAAAGAAAATGAAAGTCAGGAAGAAAGTTAGAACTTAGATTAACATGATGGATTCTAAAATGTATCTTCAAATAAAAAACTTGCTCTTGAAGTGCAAAACCCAGAAGAATTTGGATGGTTAATGGAATAGAAAAGATCAAAAACCAAAAACTTACAGAACATTGATCTAAAGCTTGTTACGCTTGTACATCCACCAAACATAGCTCCAAACACCAATGCATGACTCTTTACTAACTCATGCTGCGTTTGGCTATGGCAGCAAAGTTCACAAAACCAGAAGAATTTGGATGGAAAAGAATGCCTTGGATCGAAAATCGAAAACTTACAGACTATTGATCTGAGGCTTGTTACACTTGTGCATCAACCAAACATAGTTCTCAAACACCAACACATCAACTTCTTCCTACTTCCTGCCATGTTTGGCTGTGATAGCTAGGTTCACCAGTCATCTCAGGATAGTATGATATGTTGCATGGCATGAATTAGACTCCATTATGAAGGGAGCCCAGTAGTACTCAATTGATGCTTTGTACTCCTGAAACACATTTCCAAATCTCAAAACACCATGATCAAGTGTCTGACATGCATACTTCAATTTTTTTATAAGTTTTTTCTTTAATTTTAAGTATTCAAGTCTTTTGAAGTAGGCAAATGATTCAAACAATTTAACACATGTTAAATGCGGATTTATTAGGATAAAGTGAAAAATACATGTACTATAGGAAAGCGGGATGAGCAGAAAAGTCATGGTACCTCAACTTTAAAGATCATTGTCGGGGAATTCTATGAAAGGATTCTTTCTCCTCAGGAATCACAGATTGCACCAAACAAACCATTGGACTCAAACTGGGCTCTCTGTGCTGAATCTCCTACAAACATTAAATCAATCTTTTGGTCCTTAAGATGTCCAACAGCTTCAGTGGATCAAAATTAAGACACAGAAAAGACATTTCAAATGCCATGAAATCATATGAAACTAAATGCACCCTACTTCAAAACTCCTAGACAAACGAAACCCAATTTAGATAATCAAGATGACTAGGAACACTGTCCTTTTGTATAGCACACAAATAACATAAAAAATAACTAACCACGGTAGTTGGCAAGAATTAGGCCACCAGTGTTGACATAGAGAATCAGGCCTCCCATTGTAGATGAACAAGAATTAGATCTATAATTGTTGACGACCACTTAAAAAGGGATTAAGTGTAAAAATATAAAAAGAAGGGAGTCGCCACTCGTCCAAATTATAAGGTGGGATAAGTCACCTAAAACGGGTCTACGCAGAGATCGAGGTTCGGGGGTTCGGTTAGGAGTGAGGAAGGGCATACGCTCACCTCACAATCCTCCGTTTAAATACGGTTGCATACTTTAAAATTGGGGCTTGATTCAACTTATTCATTATATTTATGTTTGACTCTTAATAGGTAAGTTTGAAAGAAGGATAAGCCAAATTAAAACATTTTTAAAATTTTTGGCCTAAAATGGACAAAATCAAAGACAAGCATGCATCATAAGCACAAATAAAATTAAAGGGACTAATTTGATTAAATTCGAAAACATAGAGGACTGATTTAAAAAGATTTGAAACCTTAGGACTAAATTGCTTAATCATAAAAACTTTTGAGTAAAATGAAATAAAATAAAAGAGAACTTTGACTTTGACCAAAATTAAGATTAATTGAGAATTAAAATTAATTAATCAAGATAATTAATATAATTGAATAATTAACTTAAATTAATCAAAATTAATTAAAATTAATTAATCATATTTACTCATTATTAATTGAGATAACTAAATAAATCTAATCATCTCAAATCAAACTCAATAAATATGATTAATTTATTTTAATTAAAATTAATTAATTTCATTAATCATAAATTAAACTAATTCTTTTAATTAATTAATAATTTTATATTATTATTATTTTTTTACTTTTTAACCTTTTTAGTTTTTTTTTTAATTAACCTATTGGATTGGGTCGGGTCAACCCAACCCACAAACAGAATCCAAGTGAGAAAATAGGCAAAGAAAAGATTAAAACATGCAGACAAAACCAGAAAAAACTAGAGTTCATGTCATTTCCAGCAGAAATATACATTCATCCAACATGCAAAAACAGATCAAACGTCGAACATTAAAGGGAATCTGGAGAGAAATGAAATGGAACTTAAGGCTACTATTGGGATTAGGCCCAACGCCCTCTTAGGGCCACATGCAGCAGGCCCAACTACGCACCCACAGGCCCAAGAGGAGGAGACATACCCACGTGGGCAG